AATTCTAGCGGCTTCAAATCGAGCGCCAAAGGCCTGATAGGCCTACACGGGAGAGAATGGGTCTCAGTGGTCGGTGTGCACCCTGTGAAAAAAATCTGGGACCTAGCGGTGCATTGTGGGAACGCCATGTTGTCAGTCCATTTTCACCATGCCTCTCGGTAAGAAGTTCCTCACTCCTCGGCGGATTGGAGGTCTTTTGTTCCCAAGTGATAGCTCTAACAGCGATGAAAGTGTCAGTGACAGTGAATTCAAGGGTTTTCAAGTGAGTGTTACCGAAAAAAGTGCCCAGGATAACGTAAATAGTGACGAAAACCCAGATGACCCACAACCTTCGACCTCTGGTGCTGTGCCGGCTTGTTCACGTTCACGTTCGCCTGTACCAGGACGAAAGAGGAAACTATTTGGTCGTGTACAACACCCTGATGATAGCAGTGATAGTGATAGTGATAGTGATTCAAGGTCATTGAAAGCAGTTCTAGTGACAGTGAGAGTGAATATTCCCCAGTGAAGCGCCAGTAGTACACGTAGCATGCGGTCTGGTAGTGTTTCATATGTTGTTCCAAGGGGAAGGAGAAACTCTGGGAGCACATCCCGTGGCCCAACACCACGACCTGAATGTGAAGATGACGATATTGTAACGATGGGTATGAATGGTGACAGTGAGGGAGGAGGCAGTGGTGGTGATAGTGAGGGTGGCACGGCCCATGTGGCACCATCACCGGGCCACGCTACTAGCCACGCGGTCTGACTCATCAGAACAACCAGCCTCACCCTACCCCACACTGCCACAACCTGCACCACCACAACCTGCACAGCCACAACCACAGCCACAACCACGGTACAATATCCAGACCCCACCAGCAGACCGCATCTGGGATTGGCAGGACGGTGACGAGTTTGTTCCCAGTCCCATGACTTTGATGAAACACAAAGTGGAATAAAGCCATCTTGTCCACTTGGGAACAATGCCAGTGAACTGGACTGCTTTGAGTTATTCTTCGATGAACCCTGATGGACATCATTGTCAGGGAAACCAACACATACTGTGAATACACCATGCAAATACAATTCTCTCACCAAAATCACGGCTACACAAGTGGAAGGAGACAACTGTGGCAGAGATGTACCTGTTTTTTGCCACAATAATGCTTATGCCACATGTGTATAAGCACACTGTCACCACATACTGGACAACAGATCGCCTGATTCAACTCCAGGTTTTAGTGACATTATAGGTGTCAATCGTTTCCTGATACTGTTGCGTATGTTACACTTTTCAGACAAAACCAGGCCTGACAGAAGCGACAGGTTATATAAGATAAGAAATGTGTTTATGTACCTGAAACAAAAGTGCTGCATGTATTTTTATCCCTTCAGGAAGCTTGTTATTGATGAGTCCTTGATTTTATTCAAAGGAAGACTCTCATTCAAGCAATATATACCAAGCAAAAGGAAACGCTTTGGTATAAAGCTATTTGTACTGTGTGATTGCAGAAGTGGTCTTGTTTTAGATATTATTGTGTACACTGGCAGTAATACTTTGAGAGATACCATGAAGTTATTGGGTATCTCTGGTGATGTGGTTCGAACAATGATGGAACCATATCTTGTAAGGGGCATATGTTTTTTACTGATAACTGGTACACAAGCCCCTTACTCAGTGATTTCTTGCGAGTGAACTTGACAGACGTGTGTGGCACAGTGCATGGTAATCGCAAACATATGCCAAGGTTCGACGCTGGCACTCGCAGAGGTGAGGTGCAAGCCTTTGCTGCCAATGACATCATGGCATTTCGGTGGCATGACAAACGTGATGTCACATTGTTGACATCAGTTCACACAAACGAAATGGTACCCAGTGGCAGGGACAACAGAGAGACCAATGAACCCATTCTAAAGCCTGCAGCTGTCATGGACTACAACCTCAATATGCACTTAGTGGACAAATGTGACATGCAGATTGGGTTTGCAGACTGTGTACGCAAGAGTTATAAGTGGTATATCAAACTTTTTTTCCATCTTGTTGATATCTCTATGCTAAATGCTTATAACATATACAAGTTGAAGACCAACAAAACACCAAATATGGTGAATTTTGCCTGTCAGTAATCAGACAAATAATTGCAAAGTACAAAGGAGCAACTCCTGCAATAGACCAGCGCCCACAGACGTCATCTCGTATGAGGCCTGGTGATCACTACCCCATACAACTGCCTCCTACTACTGCCAAGAAAAATGCTCAGAAGAGGTGTTATGTATGTATGCATACCACAAAACGCCCACAAAACACGCAGAGACACTCGTTTTATGTGTGAGGAGTGTGAAGTGCCCCTCTGCATATACCCATGTTTTCAAAGAGTTCCACAAGCTGCAGCAGTTCTAGGAACGTGTTTTAGTGACTGTACATATGTATATATATTATGGAACAATAGTAATAAACATTGTTTTGTATTGTTTGTTTGTGTAAACAAAGTGTATACACAAACTAATAGTGATAAAATTTGTTCTGTTATTGTGTTGTAAATAATGAGTGTATATTTGAACAATGCACCTTACATTGGTCTCACAGGCCACATAAGTTACCTGGAAAAGAAAAATATGAAAAATGCAAGAAACCTTTGAATTAGAGTAAATAAAAGAATACCGGGTGGGCGGCAGTCGCCGCTGTTGCCATACGCACGTTAATTTCTGCAAACTTTGCGGCTCTATATCTCGGTAAGTACTGATGGCAAAAAAATTTTTTTAGGCTTAAAACACTAGTAAAAATATTCCTAACATTTTCATAAGAAAAAATAATTTTTTTTTTTTTCGAATATTTGGCGACATAGAATGACAGTTTCAGAGAGGGCCCTGAAACAGTCAAAGGGTTAAGCATGCAAGTCATATTCCAAAGGTCTTATACCAAGCAAAAATTTTCACATCCAAACAGGATGTATACCAAGTTGGACTTACTTCAAAGTGGACGTATACCAAGGTACCACTGTATTTACAAGGCCGTGTTACTTATTTGTAAAGTCTTTGATTACCTATTATTGAAATTGTTTGATTATAGTATGATACTCTCATTGGGATTATCTATTTGTGATGACCTGCATGGCATTACCTATTAAAATTACATTTGTGATGGGATTACATATTTTAAGAGTTTGCTCTATCATATTTGTAGATCAAGTAGGAAATTAATACAGTACTTATTCTCAAAATGCTCTTAATCCATATGGGTCACTCAGTATTGTGTTCACGTCGGAGTTACTTTCTCTGTAGACCTAATTTTCACTTGAACTATTACTGTATTATATTTTCAAGGGAACGTGCCTAGCCTGTGAAAGTTATACAGTGCTCAGGAATGTGATTATTTTCACAGGGAGACACTGATTTCTTAAGAGACCATATAGTTCTTAGGAAATGGGAGGCAGTTAGGCTTGATATGAGGAATGGGAGAGTAGCAATAATTCCTAACATCAAGAACCCTTCAGTGGCACTGAAGCACCTCTTGAAGGACTGGGAATGAGAGGATCTGGTTTGATCCAAGGAATGGGAGGTAAAGTTAATTTCCAAAGATCAAGAGGGGCATCGAGTAACTTTCCTTAGGGGAAGGAGTCATATAGCGTATGGGTAATAGGTACAGTAATTGGGTTTGATCCGAAAAAGTGAAGCACCAGTTTCTTTTATCAAAAGCATCCTTTTCTTTTAATTACATTATTATTACTGTAACTTGTTAAATGTTAAGCATTGGTTAAAATTATAGAAAAATTAACAGTAACTTAAACAGTGGCCTATTAATCTGTCCATTCTTTTTATTCAGTTGTTAATTTCCACTATTCTTGGGTCTATTGTTTAATATAACCAGATAAATTCCCAACTAATCCACACCTTAGAGAGAGAACTCGAGCCTGTGATCCAATCCATCTTAGACCATTATAATGTTACAAAGTAGTTTCTGCATTTGATTTAGATTATCCTACAGTACTACAGTATATTTAGGACCATCTTCCCAAGGATTTTGTCAGCTTTTATTTTCTGTTTATACATGTGTTGGGAGGAGAGTGTGAAGGTTTACAGCAGTACTATTTGGGCTCTACTGGTTATTTTAACTTAACATGAGTGCCCTATATGTTAGTGTTTATATTTGTCGGTGTGACTTCATTAATCAAAACTGTCTTTTGTTTTTTAAGCACATGTTGTATATACTGTACACAGTACTGAGTGACCTACACTGTTAAAGTGCACCAAAAATATCTACTGCTGTATGGACTTCAGCATCCAGTATACATGTATAATACTATCCTTGGGAAAGTGTGAAATCCATAGTCATAACTTTGGGGAGATGGGAAGTATCAGGTTTGACCCAAGAAAAGGGAAGCGCAAACTGAACCACCTTAATACATAGTTTTCACATAGAGTAAATGTAATTTTCTTCAATATGGTAAAAAGAAATACAGCAGTCCTACATTATCTCAATGCATTACTTGGTAAATATTAAAATTCCAAAAGTTCTTTTCTGTTATTTAAGTACAGGCATTTAATCACTAAGAACTTGCAAAAATAAATTTCTGAAGATGGTACTGTACTGTGCTCCCTCTCATTTAGTCAGCTTTAATTGACTGTATTGAAATATAGCCCGATGAAACAGTCTTCTTTTTTACTAAAATGTAATATTGGCAGAAATGTAATTGTTTAAGTAGTCATTTTAGTATCCTATACAAAGACAATTGGCTAACAATATAAAATTTACCAACTAACTTGTAATTATACGTAAGTTAATATTGTAACCACTGTGCAGTAGTTGCAACAATACTGGCAATGCAAAGATGAGGTACTTGTACCTCCTCCCATGGCAGAGGTTGGTCTGAGTCTGAGATACCCACATGAATGGGAGCCAAGGCTGGGCGATTATACCAGCAAATCTAGAACAAAACTGGCAATGTAAAATAGTCTTTTTTTTATACAATGATTTGGTTTTCATGCCAAGTTCTACAATTCACATTTTGCTCCAACAGTTCATCTCAATTGGAATGGATCTTGAAACAGCCAGTAAGGAGGAGTTGCAGAAAACTCTGGATAAACTGCCACAGGTGGGACAGAGCTCTCGTCCAACTCGCTGTCTCTTGTTCCACAATGCTGGCTCCCTTGGCAATCTGGTGTACTTGCGGGATCTTAAGGACCAAGACCATATCAACAGCTATTTCCGTCTGAATATCGGGTAAGTCCACCGTTCTAATATGCTTTGTTTATGTACAGTAGTTATATTCACACTAAAGCAATAATCCCAAATTGTTCATAGAGCCATTTTGCACAAGTAGAAATTTTTTTATCAGTTTAGTGAACTAAACTGATATTTGCACTACAGTGCAATTTAGTTTTACAGTAAAGTATCAGCAACATTGTAACAGTATTTTACAATTGACTGTTTTTATTTTTTAGAGGTTATATTAATGTGTACTGTACATTGTGACTTTCACTGTTGGTCCCATAAATCTATATCAGTGTCACTCTCATATATCTACACACAATTCATAGTGCTCTCAGATTTTGCTGACTCTTTTTTGGGTTATCCTAGGTTCTCTACACGTATGCTGCTATCTATGTAACTGTATTTGTGTATACCTGAATAAACTTAATTGTTTGTGGGTAGCAAATTTTGGCCTAGACATGAGAGAATGGGTGTGAGCAGAATGGGAAAAAAAAAAAAATGCCACACTTAGTGCATGATGAACAGCTAACCTCTGACCTTGTTTTGGTTAAAATAGTGGCAAGCCTTTTTTTTTTCTTTCTCTCTTGGGGAAGGGGTATTTATAATCTTATTGGTTATTTCTTGTTGGTAAATAGACTGGAGGACTTATTAGTGGCATGAGGATGATTTTTTTATTTTTTTTTTATCACACTGGCCGATTCCCACCAAGGCAGGGTGGCCCGAAAAAGAAAAACTTTCACCATCATTCACTCCATCACTGTCTTGCCAGAAGGGTGCTTTACACTACAGTTTTTAAACTGCAACATTAACACCCCTCCTTCAGAGTGCAGGCACTGTACTTCCCATCTCCAGGACTCAAGTCTGGCCTGCCGGTTTCCCTGAACCCCTTCATAAATGTTACTTTGCTTACACTCCAACAGCACGTCAAGTATTAAAAACCGTTTGTCTACATTCACTCCTATCAAACACGCTCACTCATGTCTGCTGGAAGTCCAAGCCCCTCGCACACAAAACTTCCTTTACCCCCTCCCTCGAACCTTTCCTAGGCCGACCCCTACCCCGCCTTCCTTCCACTACAGACTGATACACTCTTGAAGTCACTCTGTTTCGCTCCATTCTTTACATGTCCGAACCACCTCAACAACCCTTCCTCAGCCCTCTGGACAACAGTTTTGGTAATCCCGCACCTCCTCCTAACTTCGAAGCTACGAATTCTCTGCATTATATTCACACCACACATTGCCCTCAGACATGACATCTCCACTGCCTCCAGCCTTCTCCTCGCTGCAACATTCATCACCCATGCTTCACACCCATATAAGAGCGTTGGTAAAACTATACTCTCATACATTCCCCTCTTTGCCTCCAAGGACAAAGTTCTTTGTCTCCACAGACTCCTAAGTGCACCACTCACCCTTTTCCCCTCATCAATTCTATGATTCACCTCATCTTTCATAGACCCATCCGCTGACACGTCCACTCCCAAATATCTGAATACATTCACCTCCTCCATACTCTCTCCCTCCAATCTGATATCCAATCTTTCATCACCCAATCTTTTCGTTATCCTCATAACCTTACTCTTTCCTGTATTCACTTTTAACCCTTTGACTGTCGCAACCCCCAATCCTGAGGTGTCTCCTGGTGTCGCAAAATTTAAAAAAAAAAAATTTATTTTTTCTCACGAAATAATAGAATCTTTTCCCGATTGTAAAGACACCAAAAAAAAAACGAAATTTGATGGAAAACTGACTGAATTACGCTCTCGCGAAGTTAGCGACCTCAGCGATATTTACAAATCGGCGATTTCGCCCTATTTTCGGCTAATTCCATTATTCCAGTCAACCAAACTCATAGCTATTTCTTCAGAACTCCATTTTTTCCATTGATTGAGTACAAGAAACTGCCCATTTACCGATTTCAACTACCCAATAACATGGTCAGAAATTTGCAATTTGGGCAATTTCACGAAAATTAAAAAATATGACAGTTTCAAAATAAGGACCAGAATGAACAATGCAGACATTCCTGGCTCTAAAATAACATTTTCTTTGTTCATCAGTCATGTATCCAGGCCCCTGTGATATTACTCTTGCTTTTTATTTTGAAATTTTATTCAAACAAAAAATAGGAAGGAGGGATGTTAATGTTGCAGTTTAAAAACTGTAGTGTAAAGCACCCTTCTGGCAAGACAGTGATGGAGTGAATGATGGTGAAAGTTTTTCTTTTCCGGGCCACCCTGCCTTGGTGGGAATCGGCCAGTGTGATAATAATAATAAAAAAAAAAAAATTAATAGAAGATTTACTGTTATGCAGACTACTGCAATACTGTAATCATTGTAAAAATTACATCAACCCATTCATGACTGCATATTAGAATGGCTATTTGGACATTTATTGGACAATGACATCATTTGTTTACTTTTGAACATCGGCAAAAATCAAACATTTCCCGTACTTTGTGCTCCATTTCCAGGTTCTTTTTATAGTAAAATTAATCAAAATCACCTCTGTTTCTATAATATAGTTTCCATTCTATCAAATGAAACCAAGAAAACGAGAATACAACCACAAATACTATACGAAAATAGACCACAAAGTCGGCATTTTAATTAAAAAAAAAACTGTCGGAGTTTTTTTTTCTCTTTATGCACTGCGTGCTCCAGGATTTTTTTTATATGGTGCACACTGACCACACAGACCCATTCTCTCACATGTGGGCCTACCAGCTTTCTCCTGCCTGATTTGAAGTCGCTAGAATTTAAGAGTATATATACGTCAAACACGGTACCTCGTAAACGTATATATACGGCCGCGACAGTCAAAGGGTTAATTTTCTTCTTTTGCACACCCTACCAAATTCATCCACCAATCTCTGCAACTTCTCTTCAGAATCTCCCAAGAGCACAGTGTCATCAGCAAAGAGCAACTGTGACAACTCCCACTTTATGTGCGATTCTTTATCTTTTAACTCCACGCCTGTTGCCAAGACCCTCGCATTTACTTCTCTTACAACCCCATCTATAAATATATTAAACAACCATGGTGACATCACACATCCTTGTCTAAGGCCTACTTTTACTGGGAAATAATTTCCCTCTTTCCTACATACTCTAACTTGAGCCTCACTATCCTCATAAAAACTCTTCACTGCTTTCAGTAACCTACCTCCTACACCATACACCTGCAACATCTGCCACATTGCCCCCCTATCCACCCTGTCATACGCCTTTTCCAAATCCATAAATGCCACAAAGACCTCTTTAGCCTTATCTAAATACTGTTCACTTATGTTTCACTGTAAACACCTGGTCCACACACCCCCTACCTTTCCTAAAGCCTCCTTGTTCATCTGCTATCCTATTGTCCGTCTTACTCTTAATTCTTTCAATAATAACTACCATACACTTTACCAGGTAATGTCAAAACTATCCCTTCAAATATTTTATCACTTTATAGTTTTATTATTTTTGATTGGTGTCTTCTTACAGATCTGTGGTGTTGCTGAATGCTTTGTTCATAGATATGATGCTCAAGCAGCCTGATGTATCAATAGATGTTATCAATATTTCATCATTGTGTGCTGTGCAGCCCTTCAAGTCATGGGGTCTCTATTGTGCTGGAAAAGCCTCAAGGGATATGCTCTTTAAGGTTCTAGCAGAAGAAGAACCCCGCATTCGTGTGTTGAATTATGCACCAGGACCTTTAGACAATGAAATGCAGGTAGGTAATTGCAGAACTTTTTTTTTCCATTTGGCTAACTTTAGCTCAAGATTTTCCCAATAGAAGTACAAAACTAGCAGACAGGGTAACACAATAAATGCTAGTGTAATTACTTTGTGAAATTTAAATACTTGGATTGAGTAGAAATTATAATGAAAATAAATTTAAATGTTACAGGAGACAGCTCGAAGTGCAACAGGAGACAAAGAGCTGCGATCAGCTTTTGCATCATTAAAAGATGAAGGAAAACTTATTCCCTGTAATGTATCTGTGAACAAACTCTTGAATATACTAAAACTACATCAGTTCAAGTCTGGAGACCATGTTGACTACTATGATGCATAATCTCCACTTCCAGTAATCTGCATTGGACCACCACAATGTCCAGCCAACACAGGTTTACTGCTTTGTGATAATGAAAATATGCTTTAACAGTGATATTGAAGGTTATACAACAGTGATCATTTCTGGTAGTTGATAAATTATATATGGGCATCACTGGGTGTCTTTACTTTTTGCCAACCAGTAATTCTTAATTTCATGCAGTTTCAACACCTTGAATGCTGATGGACTGATACCTTGTCTGCTGTACTCAATAACTTCTAAAGGAACTTATCAAGCAACTGGTTGGTAAAATGTCTTCAGATACCCAAGTGTTGCACATCTCTTGACTCAACAGTGTCAGTAATGTATACCATCAGAGTAAACAGTGACACTTTTTAATAAATGAAAGGGATATGCCTGATAAGTATACCATGGAAAGTATGAAGTAGAATTATTCAGAGAGTTCAGGGGTAAAACAGAGGACTGCAGATACGTAGATCAGGTGTTTACTTTAAAGTGTACAAGTGGGCAATACTTGGGTAAGAGTAGAGCCACTGTTGTAGTCAAGGATTTGGAAATGACCTATGATAGGAGAGCCAAGTGACAGATATTGCATATGTATGGAATAGGGAGTAGGTTACTGAAATCAGTTAAGTTTTATGCATTTAGACTAAGGTACGTAGGAGGGAAGGAGACCATTTCCCAGTGAAAGATGACACGGGGATACTTACCGTGGTTCCTTAACGTATTTTTAGATGGGTTAGTGTATGACCTATGCAGGTTTGTGTTAAACCTGTATAGGTTATTAAAGTGAATCCTAGGGCATTGGGAAGGGATAGTTCGTTTGGGAGGGTATATAAAAGTAGGAAATTAAAAGTGAACATAGAAAAGAGCAGGGTGATAAGGGTAATGAAGAATCAAAGCAATTATAGGTTAAATATCAAATTGGAGGAAGTGGATGAATTGATATTTGGGAGTGGACATGTCAGTAATGGATCTGAAAGAGAGAGAACCATAGATTAAAGGGGAAGAAAAAAGTAAGTGTATTGAGGCATCTGTGGAAAGAAGTATAGAAGTAAAAGAAAATGTACTAGGTGTAGTGGTACCAATGCTTTGAATGTTGCAGCTAGAGGCAGTGGAGCTATAATGTTTGAAAGTAGTGTATGGTGTCAATATTATGCTGAGGTTTTAGTGCAGAAAATGAAAGCGTAGGAATTGCCAGGTGTGTAATTCAGAGCTGAGGAAGGGATGCTTTGGTCATTAAGAGTAATATGATGACAGGATGTATAAGTTTGGGGGCCAGAAGGTAGGGGGGTAAAGGAGGCTTTAGGGTTCTGCAAACATGTTAATGAATGGAGAAAAGTGCGAAAGCAAGGTAACACTTATGAAGGGATTCGGGGAAATGGCTAGCTGGACTAGTCCTGGAGGTAGGAAGGGCAGTGCCTGCACTTTGATTGAATGGAGGGGTGGGGGATGTTCTTTCAGTTGTATAATTTCATACTGTATGATGTGGATGCTCAGCTTATGACACTCAGGTTTTCCATTATTCCTGTGCTCTTACTCGTTCCAACCCTGGTAATGTTTATCCCTGTCTACTGGTGTAGCCATATCTTCATCCTTAGAATATGTTGGCTTCAGTGTTCAGCAGACTGTGGTAGTTCATCTTCAGGAGACAGTCTTCTATTTTTTTTTTTTTTCCTTTTTGAACATGTTATACAATATTTTTTCCAAACAGTTATGTTGAATTGTAGAAATGTGGGGGTAGAAAAAAAGACAAGCCTGCTGGAAGCTGTATTGATACAAATTATGGAGTACAGTATGTGCTTATCAGATAGTGTAAATGCACAAAGATTAATTAAACACTGAAGTTGAGAACATTATTATACCTATGAACAAATGTAGATGCAGGCACTTGAAAGTAGACTTTCAGACCAAAGCTAAAAGCCTATATTGTATTCAAAATAAGGTTTTGAACTCTAGCCTCTAAATATTTTAATGAAGTGATATGTATTATACTGTAGTATCACAATCAAAACCCCTTTACAGTATAACACTAGACATGTATAAACTGACTAATCCAATGTTAATATTCGTTACCTAAATGGACATGTCCAACAAAATTGTTTGGCCTTAACACTATATGTAAGTGATAACTAGTCAGTTATGTATTAATATCAAATTATTCGTTTCTATATCTTAAATTATTTCTTTTACAAACTAATATAAATTCCGACAGTTAAAATATATTTTCTTGAACAGTCAGTTTAAAAAAAAAAAAAAAAAAAAAAAAACCTATATAGAGTATTTCACATCCGAGTATAAAGACATTGAAGTTAAAATTCTGTAACGAAAAGTTTTTTTTTTGTTTACATGTACACAAAGTTGTCTAATACAACCCATTTGGCCATTTAACGACTAAGAGAAAAATTATTTGATTTTGAACACAAGACAAATTACACCATTTGTGATAATTTCCCAATAAAATATGTGAACAAATTTTAAACTGATACAATTACTTAAATGTTACCACTAGGGATATTCCTGGTTATAATATAGCATTATATACACTGACATTCCTCAGCACTATAATGGTCATGGCAAAGCAAAAAACAGGAACTAGCTTTTTTCTTTTTTACATTCAATAAAGTGTAATATCTTACTGTACATATTTATATATATCTTATTGTTAAAAACCATCAATAACCAACCATTTTTCTGTGACTTTCTCGAGTTGCTTGGCGACTATGGGATTCCTCACACGAATTTTGACTTCCAACTTTCCTCCCACCATGCGTTTCCTCTCGTCTATAAGCTGCAATACACATGGTTGTCAAAGTATAAGCATATTAACTATATAATAGTAGAAAAGTAAGTGAAATCCACTATGAAAGCTAAAACAATCCTTCAATTGTAAAAGTTGAAATACAGTAGGTTACTTACATCATAAGACTCGTGTAAGGTACATTTTGTTTCTAAAGTCACCAAAGGTACTTTAACACCTCCTAAGAGTGTGTCACGATGGAACCAGCCCCTGTTTTAAACAAAAAACTATTAATGTCTTGTGCACTGTATTATGAGTACCAAATACATGTAGTATACTGTTTACTGAATTTTTCTTAGTGATTGGCTATATTAATCTTTTAAAATATATTTTAGCCGCTATGCTAACACTTGAAGGTGTAAGGAGAAAGACAAAGGCATGATCAACCCTAGAGGACTGGGATAGTTTTCATAGTTCCCTGCATGATGAAAACCTCATTGCTATACTTCCTACATAAATGCTAAGTAAAATGCATACCACCTAATTAAAATCTTATACAACCAACAGACATACCAATACAATCATATTTTCTTAATATTATGCATCTTAAAATGCATACCACCTAATTAAAATCTTATACAACCAACAGACATACCAATACAATCATATTTTCTTAATATTATGCATCTTAAACATTTTTAATTAACATTTCAGCAACAGAAAACCTGACATTATTATGGCTATGCAGGACAACAGACACTTTACTAAAAGAAAAATACTTTACTGGATGTAAATGGCAGGGGGTGAAAAATTTACAGGCAGAACAGAGATCTAGATCATGGGGATAAAATATTAATGAATAGGTGGAGGAAAAGAAACAAATGAAACTTAGTGATTAGATAAGGTGAACAAAGATAAAGTCTACTCCCTTTCCCATGACCCATGTAGGTTTAGCACTTAGTTTATTATTATGATAATACTCCCTTTCCCAGTTGCACAAGAGGTATACAGTTGGAACAGCAGCAATATCCCTTCCCTAGAATCATAACTATGGCACAACTCCTATACATTCACTTGTATAAATAAAGGTTAACTGATTCAAAGATTAGTCTACGCCCATTGCGTGCCGAGCACTTGAAGATGAAACCATTGTTAATGAAACGACTTACCCTTTAGCATAAACTTGCACCTTGAGAGCATGTCTTTTGAAGACTCGAGCTAAAGCCCGAGATTTACGATCTATGCTGAAAACAATTTTGTGGTTGTATTCTGGGTTATTAGTATCCTTCACCACATAACTGCGATCTTGAGGAGGGCTATCCTAAAAAGATAATAACATTTAATGGCAAAGGCACAAAGTAAAAAAAAAAAAAATTTTTCCTTTGTCTAGCATAAAATAATAAAGTCAGAATGCTATGGCTGGAACAATTCACTCTCAAACTGAAGATGAAATAAATATTTTGGTCCAGGAAAGAGAAAAGGGAAGCCAAAGAAACCTTTGATGCCCCTTGACCTGACCATGGTTGTCGCCTGCCTCTGCTGCTTCCCTTTTCTCTCATTTATGATTTGATAATGGCCCAGGAGAAACTGAAATATCTAGTTTTTTACATGTAATTTTCAAGTTTATAAAATGATACTTTAATGTATTTAACTATAATGCTGTAACATGTGCCCAACATAACTATTAATTTTTGGCTTCATTCATGTACGTCAAATATCTAATTACATGCTATAATAAAATTATAAATACAGAATAAATTTGTATTAATATTATTATACCTAGTTAGAAAAGTGTATTTTAATTATTGAAAAATGCTGTCCAAAAACTTATGGTGACTACCCTAGCAAAAAGTCAATGATATTGCAATATGGCAGGCAGCCTTTATTCCAACTTCATTTTGTAACAAAACTGGCTTAATCAGAATTATTCTGATACAATAGTCACACAGTTACAATTCCCCATCAGACAATGGTAAGATTAAATATATGAAACATAACAATACTCTGATATTAATGTCTAGCCAATGGACTAGCTCTGCTTCAAGGACAATTAAATTTTAAGTGAATATTAAGAGCTAAAAGCAATGATGATCTTGTCATCTACTCAAATAATTTAATACTGCTTCACAAAAAGGAGAAAATTATCAATGAGAATTTTTTTACTGAAATGTGAAACTAAAATAGCTTGAGAACTTACTGTGGGATATGGGAACTCTATCTTAAGGTATGTGTCAACATCAGTGGGGTTTTGAACATTGAAGTTAATCCCTCGCACAATGGAAACTTCACAGTCTGAATCATTCAAGTCTGTGTTGCATCTGCAATTGAAGGTATAGTTAAAAATATAAATCCACATTACTGTTGTTACACAATTATAAGCACCTTACAACTGAAGAGACCAGAGTCTGATTTCCAGACAGGGTAAGCCATAAGGACAAACTTTCTTACATCCACTGCACCTATTTATCTAGCATTAAATAGGTACCTGAGTGTGTTAGTATACCCCTAGATAAGGCTAGGCTTTGAAATGAGGCAAAGAATAACAGCACTTATTAAATTCAACATTAAACAAAAGTAAAATCGTTTCTTGTGTTCAGAACGGGGTCTTGCATATACTGTATTAGATGAAAACATTATGAAGACTAACGACATACACTGTTTAAATAGTAGACATGGTTTGGACCTGAATGCCAGAAATAAGTCAGACTAGTTCATAAGAGTTACGAGGTAGAACCATGAGCTATGACTTGATTTCAACATACACAACTAGTTAAGTTCATACATAACTTCATACAGCAAATATTATACAAAGGGTAAAGCTATTTACCACATATCTAATAGTAATCATTCATGGGTTAAAGAGAATATATGCATATCCTGGATACAAATATATTTTTTTTAACACGAGCCGTTTCTCATCAGGAAGGTGACCCAAAGAAGGAAACACATTCATCACTTATATTCTCTAGTCATCTTTCCAGAAGTGTGCCAACATTATAATTCAAATGGTCCCACTGAATTACAATGACCCCACCTATCCTTCAAAGTGTAGGCACTGTACTTCTTACTTTATGAATGCCAGTCCATTATTATTACATTTATGGGGAAGCACTAAACCTGCAAGAACTCAAGTCCAGCTAACTGGTTTCCTTGAATCTCTTCATAGATCTTACCTGGTTCACACTCCAACTGTACATAAAATTCCAAAAACCACTTGCCTCCATTCAGTCCGATTTAACAGTCACACGTCTGCTAAAATTGTTCATCGGTAATCAAAATCTAGGAGCCAGCACATACAATACAGAATACAGTAAACAACATCTAACCTTGTAAAATAAAGTATTAAGTATGGGTACTGCTCCCTGACTCAGCATTAAAACTAATAAAATATGAATTGTTACTTACTGAATAATATTAAAAGACCTATTTTCATAGTGGAACCTTGGAGGAGTATCTCCTCTTTTAAAAGCTGCTCGAACTGCATCCAAATCTTTTTTAGTGTGGAGGATTAATTGTTCAAATCGATTTGAACTTGTCACATCACCAGTAGCTTTGAAGTGTTCCCGAGTTTGAGCACACATCTGTAGAGATAGAACAAAATTAATACCCTGCAAAAATTCTAGTAGAAAGCTTTCTATTGTGCAGCTTCAACATGTCCCTTATTCTCTCAACCTTTCAGTTTTCCCATTTCACAGTAGTAGGGAAGAGAGGTACTGGTCTTATCTGTGAATTTGCATGTACCTAGCTGAGTTTGGGAGTTGAGTTGTAGCTTTAGGGCATCCTCTTACTTCTGACATGATGCTGTATTTTTTTTTAACACAATGGACATTTCCCACCGAGTCACGGTTACTGTATTTTACTGTATGTATTATTATATTTAAAGCACCAAACCTATGTGCATCATTCATTACAGGGAACTGCAGAGGTTTGAGCCCCCTGTCTGCTCAGTGCGGACAGGAGATTAAGTAGTGACTAAGTTGTATTGTATTTCTTTCTTCTTTCTTTCAACACACCGGCTGTCCACTGAGGCGGGGTGGTCCAAAAGGAAAAACGAAAGCCTCTCCTTTTACATTTAGCAATATATTTACTTCTGAATATTTTTATGAAGTCAGCCTCTACTACTGCTCTTGAAAATACTGAAGGGATAGGAGCTGTAACCTCCCCCCTAGGGGTTTACTCCTCCCCTTAACAATAATTAATCTGTATCAGAGGGACTGCTTCTAAATCTTCACACTGAGATAACCCATTAAAAGATTGAAAGGAACAGTAGTTGCTGGAAAACACTATCTATAATGAAAAGCAGGTACTGTACAGGGTGTGACAATACTGAAAAGATGCAGAACATGACACATGTACAGTTATGATAATCATAACAAGAACAGAGGAACACTGAAGCAGACCTACTGACACTGCCTAATTTGCACATTAGTGAAAATTATTGTTAACATATATCAGTAGCTTTCCCTGCCTCGGTGGGATACGGCTGGTTTGTTGAAAGAAGAAAAGATCAGTAACTTACTGGTAAATGACCTTACTTTTATCTGAGCAACAAGATCCTCTTCAAGTTTTGTGTAAGTGATGGCAATGTCGGCACTTGTACTGGTCGGAGCAACGACACAGTCATCTGCACTCACAAACTCAAAATCAATGCCAGTTGGAGGAATCTGTTCTTGAGGAGGGACAGGTACCTACAATATAAAAATTAACAAATATAATAGTGAGTTGTTAAAGTTTAAATTATTTAAAAAAGAACATAAACAGGGGCTAATAAAGAAAATATAACAATACAGGGGCTCTCCAACTAACATGCTGTTTTCCAATTTAAACAGTTGTCTGCATCCTGGAATTTACTTTCCTATATTAAATAATGGTAGAAAGGACAGTACAGAATGTGTCACATATGTTTGCAGGTGAACATTTGTAAAAATTATTTTTTAAATGTGATTTCTTATTGAGTGTTCGTAAATGTGGATGTTCATAACTTGAGCTTGTGAAGTTGGGGACCCCATGTATCTGAAAATTATCATGCACATATTCAGTGAAAAAACAACAGGTGTAAACTATTATCAATATTATATTTAAGAGAAGTGATAAACCCATATGAGTCATACAATAATGCCTAGGAAATGGAAGGCAATCAGATTTGATCCAAAGAAAGGGGAGGACAAGTCCAATTCTATAGATCAAGACTCCCCTCACTTGTATCAAGGGGTCGAGGCTTGCCCATGCATCTCGCAGTGCAGGCACTTACTTCCCATCTCCAGGACTCAAGTCTGGCTAACTAGTTTTCCTAATTCCTTTCATACATATTACCTTGCTCTCACGCAACAGCACATAAAGCCATAAAAACCAAGTATTCACATAAACACAAATTTCTCCTGCCCCTGTTCACCTATTAGTAAATGGGTTCCTGCATGTTAGTGAACTGTTAAGGGTTGCATTTTTTTGGGTGGCAGTATACTGGGCTATAAAATTAGCCAAGGTATGATAACTCCTAACCTGTAAATTTAATCATGTAAAAAATGTTATTAAGCTTTCGCTATTTTAGTTTCCCATCTTGGTGCATACATCCCTTTCTCATAAAGTGCCAAAATATCATCTCTTACCGTGTTCATATCAACTGGCAGTCCACCACGAGTTGCTTCAATGAGCTGGTCGAAGCCTTTGCTCATACGGAGGTATTCCTTAGCTTGCTCAATCTCTCCACGTTTCTTGGCCTCAAGGGCTGCTTGCTTGAACAGTGTTTGTCTTTTAGTAAGGAATGCAAGCTGTTTTTCCACTCTAGACTGAGGAGCTTGTCTCACTGAAATTAAAACATTAAAGCACCTGATTAATAAACTGAAACAGACGTATAATTTTATATTGCAAAGGTCTTTCAGTATTACACAGAGGAAAGAGGTGGAGGTGACAACAGAATTAAGAGATGGTAGAGGTAAAAGGTGGAGGTGATGAGAGAATAAGAGATGGTAGAGGGAAGAGGGGGAGGTAAGAGGAGGATATCAACTGAAAAGATGCAAGGTCATAATTAACGTAACAAATCAGTGTTAGTTATGAAGTCTATGACTATTGCAAGTAGGACCTTCAGAGAATAAGACATGGTAAACATATCAAAGTATAAGGTAAAGAATAAGACAGACTAAAGTGTTTGCCATCTTTTACATTGGCAAAAAAAAAAAAAAAAAAAGTACAGAAAAAGGAGACCTATATTAATGCAACATGCCACTTACATGAAGGTTTATCAAGACTTCATACAGGTGAAACATCATACTAATAAAGGTCTTTTTTTGCTAATGTGACTTTTTTTACATGTTGACTGTCATACTTAAATTATTTTTGCTTTATTACTGAAATTCTTTACTTTTTCCATGGTTTGATATATGAAATTTAACAATTATACACATGTACTATACTGTATAGATGTATATAGCAAGCAACTAGTTTTTCCAGCCAGTGAATGCAGCTCAAATTCCCATAGCAAGGCTACAGGAAATGGTGACATCTAATATATGAGAACATGGGATAAAATAAATGGGAAAATGTAATAAACCTGCTTCCTGAACAATAATAAGGAAAGAATACCACACGACAGCTTATTAGTGAAAACTCTGGCTTTGATCTACAGCAATACCTTGTATAGTATGGTTAATGCGTGTCAAAAAAGAAATACCATACTATGCAATACCGTACTGATCAAGGTATTATTATAATGTGATTTAATGTAATGTGTTCCTACAATGTGATTAAATGCATAGGATCACAAAAATATTTAGCCGTTTGCTTAGTACAAATCAATATACATGAAACTCTTGCACGTACTTAAAAATAAAGAAATTACAAAAGAGTAAATGATGTTGAAAGTGTTTCTTCTTTTTCGGGTCACCCTGCCTTGGTGGGAAATGGCCGATGTGTTAATAAAAACTATAACACAAAAGATAAAAACAAAAAATAGTAGTACGTACTAAAGATTTTTCTAACAGTTGTAAATAAACAATGTACCATACTTACGGTAAAGAAAAAGATCATATTTATTTTGAAACAGTTGAATATAGTAGTTTGCACAGTTTGTTTCTTCATTTTTCAGCATATATTTGTTGAAAGAAGAAGACATATCTTTATAGCACTGAATATTATTTTGTAATGCCTGCCTAACTGATGCCTTGCTCAATGTTTGGATCTGCATTTATTATGAAGTCACAAGCATCTTCTACTTTTAAAAATTAATGTTAATAGTTCATCCAGTGTTGAATTCTTTCATGGGCACAGCATTTTTTCTCCTTGAATCATCATCTGATTTAATGGAATTCTCTCCTTTTTGCAGTCTCTAATTCATGACATGAAAAGACGTTCCATATGATCCATTTCAGAACTATGATTTTTAATAATCACTTTTGACTTATAAGATGCTGTAGCCATTCCATATCTTTGTATTTTATCTTTATTCCTGAGGTGCACATGTACCGATGTTTCGTTCATTTTCTTCTAACGTGCTACTTTAGCATATGATGCACCATCTTCATGTTTCATAATTTCTAGTTTTTCATCTAATGTGAACCATTTACGTTTACTAGAACACTCAGTGTTGTTGAATTTCCTCTTTCCACTTATATTTTCATATACAAGGGGTACCCATATTTTATGTAATAAAGAAAAAAAATTGTGTATACTTATGTACTACATAAGACCACACAACTTCACTGCTTGGAGTCTGGAGCGATACCGATGTTAGCATTGTGCTAGTCCGGTAAGCAGCAGCAGTTCAACATCGGTGATTAATGAAGTTAAATAAAATTTATATTAATAAATTTATTAAATTTGTAAACCGTATTATATCAAAACCTGTACTATTCAAAATGGTACTTTGCAAGGTATTACTATAAGGTGTTTTAAGTACAGCACTTTTTTTTTTTTTTTTTTCAACAAGTTGGCCGTCTCCCACCGAGGCAGGGTGACCCAAAAAAGAAAGAAAATCCCCAAAAACAAAATACTTTCATCATCATTCAACACTTTCACCACACTCACACATAATCACTGTTTTTGCAGAGGTGCTCAGAATACAACAGTTTAGAAGCATATACGTATAAAGATACACAACATATCCCTCCAAACTGCCAATATCCCAAACCCCTCCTTTAAAGTGCAGGCATTGTACTTCCCATTTCCAGGACTCAAGTCCGACTATATGAAAATAACTTTACCTTAGAATATTTCAACTATTTCAGCGAGATCTTCAAAATTTTGTTTAAATTACTTTAGTAAGGTTTTCAAAACATGGTGTTTGAGCTACTTTAGAAAGTGATCAAAACATAGTTTTTAAGCCATGTTGGAAAGTTTTTAAACTGTGTTTCAACCTTAGAAATTTAGCAAGGGCTTCAAGTACAGTGGACCCCCGCTTAACGATCACCTCCCAATGCGACCAATTATGTAAGTGTATTTATGTAAGTGCGTTTGTACGTGTATGTTTGGGGGTCTGAAATGGACTAATCTACTTCACAATATTCCTTATGGAAACAAATTCGGTCAGTACTGGCACCTGAACATACTTCTGGAATGAAAAAATATCGTTAACCGGGGGTCCACTGTATGCAGTTTATTTAAGTGACCTTTGAAATTTATAGACATTTTTTCACTAATAATGCACACTGAACAGTTATTTCCCCTTCACTAAAATTTTTATAAATATGCAAAATGTTTATCACTTACCATTAACTGGCGGGGTTGGCTTTGGAGCAGCGGCAGGTGGCTGTGCAGCAGCTGGTTGTGCTGTTCTAAGTTGTTTTGGAGGAGGCCCTGCTGTATTATCCCTGTTATCCTCCACAGCAGATGCAGGAACAGGAACAGGAGCAGGAACAGGAGCAGGAGCAGGAGCAAGAGCAGCAGGGTCTGCTGTACTGCCACCAACAGGAATAGGAGGAAAGCCTAGAAAAAAAAAATCTGAGTAATATTGACAAAACTTACGATTCACTGGATTTTTTGGTTAATAATTGTTTAATTTCAATGGAGAGTGTCTAACTAATATTCTATATTATGCTTTATTCACTCATTCATTCATACAAATGTTTGCATGCAAGAGATATGCATCTGTGCTTAATTTTGATGTTCAAAAATATGACAATATCATCACTAGCTTCTTGTAAAAACTCACTGAAGTGGTCCACAAATACCAAGGAAAATTAATATAAACCTGCTTGTTTAAAAAACAAAAAGGCACAATTCTGTGCCTGGAACAATACACAAATAACCCGCACATTCGGTCCGACTTGGACTATTTACAAAGTCACACTAATGGAAAAGAGTGAGGGAGCCAGTATATACAGGAGAGGAGGATGGGGGACAGGACCAAATGTCCTAGTCCCATCCCTGTCCCCCTCGCCAGTGGGCAAGGGGCTTGAACTTCCAGCATGTGCGTGTTAGATAGGAGTGAATGGAGACGAATAGTTTTTGGGACCTGACAAGCTGTTGGAGTGTGAGCAGGGTAATATTTAGTGACGGGATTCAGGGAAACCGGTTATTTTTATATAGCCGGACTTGAGTACTGGAAATGGGAAGTACAATGCCTGCACTTTAAAGGAGGGGTTTGGGATATTGGTAGTTTGGAGGGATATGTTATACTGTATCTTTATATATGCTTCTAAACTGTTGTACCTGGGCGCCTCTGCAAGAAACAGTGATTATGCATAAGTGAGGTGAAAGTGTTGAATGATGATGAAAATATTTTTGGGGGGAGGATTTTCTTTCTCTCTGGGTCACCCTGCCTCCATGGGAGACAGCCAACTTGCTGAAAAAACATTTTTATTATTTTTTTTTTTTCAACAAGTTGGCCGTCTCCCACCGAGGCAGGGTGACCCAAAAAAGAAAGAAAATCCCCAAAAAGAAAATGCTTTCATCATCATTCAACACTTTCACCACACTCACACATAATCACTGTTTTTGCAGAGGTGCTCAGAATACAACAGTTTAGAAGCATATATGTATAAAGATACACAACATATCCCTCCAAACTGCCAATATCCCAAACCCCTCCTTTAAAGTGCAGGCATTGTACTTCCCATTTCCAGGACTCAAGTCCGACTATATGAAAATAACCGGTTTCCCTGAATCCCTTCACTAAATATTACCCTGCTCACACTCCAACAGATCGTCAGGTCCCAAGTACCATTCGTCTCCATTCACTCCTATCTAACACGCTCACGCACGCTTGCTGGAAGTCCAAATCCCTTGCCCACAAAACCTCCTTTACCCCCTCTCTCCAACCCTTTCAAGGACGACCCCTATTATTTTTATATATTTTTTTTAACAAGTTAGCCATCTCCTACTGAGGCAGGGTGACCCAAAAAAGAAAGAAAATCCCCAAAAAGAAAATATCATTCAACACTTTCACCTCACTCTTACATAATCACTGTTTTTGCAGAGGTGCCCAGAACACAACAGTTTATAAGCATATACATATAAAGATACACAACATATACACTGGCTCCCTAACTCTTCTGTGTTAGACCATTTACAAAGTCACACTAAATCGGACCAAAATGTCATCGTAGGCTTTTCTCTCTCCCATGTTTACCTGGAGACCTGGAGAGAGTTTCGGGGGTCAACGCCCCCGCGGCCCGGTCTGTGACCAGGGTAATTTGTGTATTGTTTGTTTAACTTGTGTGTGTTGTACATATCCAACCAAGTGGAGTGATTGGAAGGGATAGGGGATATTGGAGGAAGGGTTGAAAGGTTTGGAGGTAGATTAGTGCAGAAGAAAAGTGATTTTGGACATTTGACATGCTGTTAGTGTGAGCATGGTAAAACCTAGGAAGTCAGGAAAAATGCTTGCCAGTTTGATTTCTGGAGTCAGTCAGTACAGCTACTGCACATAAAGAATGGGTGAGGATGCTGGAATTCAGCACATCGTTTGGTCTCTATGATGTTGCTACCACTCTACACCACTTTGAGTTTGTATCACTAACTGATCTATATTTAACCAAATGTAAGCTTTGTTAGTTTAATTGTTCATGAACCTTGCATCACTTCTTTCCTTTCTTCTTTCAGCACACCGGCCGTATCCCACTGAGGTGGGGGTGGCCCAAAAGGAAAAACGAAAGTTTCTCCTTTTACGTGAGCGTGTTTGATAGGAGTGAATGGAGACAAATGGTTTTTAATACTTGACGTGCTGTTGGAGTGTGAGCAAAGTAACATTTATGAAGGGATTCAGGGAAACCGGCAGGCCGGACTTGAGTCCTGGAGATGGGAAGTACAGTGCCTGCACTCTGAAGGAGGGGTGTTAATGTTGCAGTTTAAAAACTGTAGTGTAAAGCACCCTTCTGGCAAGACAGTGATGGAGTGAATGATGGTGAAAGTTTTTCTTTTTCGGGCCACCCTGCCTTGGTGGGAATCGGCCGGTGTGATAATAAAAAATAAAAAAAAATACAGGAGAAGGGGTTACTAGCCCCTTGCTCCTGGGATTTTAGTCGCCCCTTACGACATGCATGGCTTATAGAGGAAGAATTCTGTTCCACTTTCCCATGGAGCCCTGCATTACTATGAAACATAAAAACAAAAAAAATTAAACAATTCAGATATAATTCTTTTACATAAGTTGAAAAATAAAAAAAATATCCATAAGACATTACAAAAAAATCCTTGTCATGTATCGTACTTTGCTTATTGTAAAGACTGACTCAAATAGAACAATTTGCTTAGTCAAAAGAACATTTGGGTTAATTTTTTGGAAATGTGCCTCAGTAATCTTTTCACACAGGATGGTTATGGAATGTAGAACAAAGCTATGAATTCAATTAATAAACTTCAGCCACCTTACCAGGTGGAGTAGGAAGTTCATCGAAGACTACAGGTTTCCCAGTTTTGTGTTTCTTAATGGCATCTTCATACTGTTTTATAATGCGTTGGTTCATACGTTCTTTACGAGAATTTTCCTCTTTCTGGAGAGAAAAATAGATAACTTAAGTAATGCACTTACTAGTATGTCTATACAGGTTTCCCTTGCTTTATGTAAATTTATTTTGTGTGCAACACTATTTTTACCATTCAATATATGCAGTGTAAAAATTTGCTCTTTTGCAACTGGAATAGGTGGTCACTGTGCTTTTTCCTCATAAGTGATCCCCTAAGACCAGTACCCAATTGATTTTACCAAATTTTCTTTAAATATCCCTTTAAACTGGTTTATACTGGCATTCATAAGAAAGACTTGACAGAAAACAAATATGAACACGGTAAATCAAATGAGCCCATTCTTAACAAAATCCTATAGTTAGTTTTCAATTTAAGTGTTTAGTGCTAAAAGAAAATACACACAGAGCAAGATGATTTTTAATAGGATTCTACTGACATTCATAAGAAGGAATATCCAATGAGCATGTTTTGAATGAAATCCTATGGCTGGTTTCCTATTTGAGTGTCTTGCAACAAGTCAAAGAAAAGGGCATCCAGCCAGACTAAGTTGGGTTGCACTGACACAGTCACAACCAGTGGTGGAAGGAGGGAGGAAAGAGTAATGTGTGTATTCTTAGATTCCTAACAATTGGGCCTCAACCCAGAAAAAGATGGGCAGGTTGATTAGTGGTGGAGGGGAGAGGGAGGGTAGCATAGAGGAGGATTATGATGAAATTTTAAATTTAATTTTTTCTCATTTCATTCTGACCAACTATATTTGTTTGATGCCTACCTGGTATGATCACAAATTTTTGGTAAAACTAATGTGAATTTTTTTCTCAATACTGTATTGTTAAAGGGATTAAGGCTTAATTTGGCGTTTCATTTATTTTTTCAGAATTTTCAACTAATTTCATTTAATTTTCATATATGGTGCATACGTATGTAGTAAGCTCACCATTTACTTGGTAAACAGTCAAGGAATGTACAATTTGCAAAGTCTTATAATGAATTCTATGTTTTACATGCTTTACTAGGTTTGCTTTGTGAGCTATTGGGCAGGAACAAATATATTATAAAGTGAGGACACTCTTCTTTGTATATAGGCATTGTTCTCAAATTATTGGATATTTTTAAAATTTTTCAACAAACTGGCCATATCCCACCAAAGCAGAGTGACCTAAAAAGAAAAACGAAAGTTTCTCTTTTAAAATTTAGTAATGTATACAGGGGAAGGGGCTACTAGCCCCTTGCTCCAGGCACTTTAATCGCCTTGTATGACAACTTTTAAACATCTATGTCTATATATGCAATAATATATAAAGGTGAAGCTATGTTTTGATGAGTAAAGAGAAAACTGGGAACTATCAAGAAGATGGCTGAAGCAAATATACCACAACCCCAACATAAATATTTTTGTGTTACCATCCTTTTTCTAGTCTTGACTCTTGGTGAAAACCCACATTTGCTGAAGATGGACTAGACTTTATTACTGTACTACAATTTCCACAAGAAAGTGTACTCACCTTTGCTTTTTCTCGCTGTTCAACATACTTTGCTAATCTCTGCTCCAGAGCCTCAAGGACTGTGGAGGGGGGTGGTGGTCCAGTAGGGGCAGAGTCAATATTGCCCACTGGACTGACTGACTCTACTGGTGTACCACTTGGAGGCTCAAGTACTGCAGAACCTTCAAAAGCAAGACATCATTTCAATCTACATTTTAACAGTACATACATTTAATTATTTATGATGATGCAATATTATAGCAGTCTATTTGATACCCTGACACAATAAGTGATATTTATGAACAGATGCTGCCTACTTACACATGTTCATATTAATCGATAAGCTCTTTTCTACCATGGTAGATTGAATTTAGCTAGCCTTTAATAAATTTTTTAATCACATATTCCCATGAAAGACTAATTTGGAAATGTCAAAAAGAAAATTTTTGTCAAAAAGTGCAATAATTTTTCCTGCAGTGGGTCATCATCATGTGATGTTGCTCAGTAGGGATTTGGGTCATGTAATCAAAAGCATTCTGCCAGGAAAGGTAAATGGAACAGATCACTATGGTGCTGCAGGATAAATTTAACTAAACAGCAAAAATAAATAGGGAAATGAATATCTTGTTCTTTCCCTTAAGAATGTTATAAAAAGTAACTTTTCAATAACATCTTTCAGATGAATCCTGAACACCAAGTACTAAGTGCAACAAACTTCCAAGACTCACTTATTGCAATGTTTGGTTCACGAGCTGTGGGGTGTGTAACAGGTTTTGTTTCTTGAACTGCTGGTTGAGTAATGTGAGTACCAGGGGGTCCAGGTAAAGTGGCCAGGTCAACTGCCTGACCACCCTCAGCAGCTCTAAGCATTGGTTCCATCTGTTTCATAATTTTCATGTACTGAATAGCCCTTTCTTTATCTCCTTGCTTCTTTGATGCAAGTGCTGCCATTTTATATTCGCTGTGAAGACTTCGGATAATATTAGCAGGATCTGACGATGAACATGTTCGCTGGAGTGGAGGTCCAGATGATGAAATAGTCCGGTGGAGTGGAGGTCCGGATGATGATGTAGTTCTCTGTAGTGGCACTCCTGGTGATGGGCTGCCCTCGTGAACAGGAGATGGCTAAAAAAGAAATATTGCACTTTTAACCAACATTTTCCATGCTCACTTAAATGGGGTGTAAGCATTTATTCTTGGCCAACGCAAAATAATTGTGACTGACAATCTTCCATGGTGATCATAAATTGATATAACAGATTTATAATTAAAATTCATATCTGTCAATGCTGCAAATTATTTATGTCTATACTTTACTGCATTTAAAAATTCTTATGATGATAATATTACATACACGTTTTAAAAAATTTAAAGTTTGGAGGTGAAATATACAATAACGGTACCAGATTTGATCAATAAAATGTGTTACATGATATAGATGGGATGTGAGTACTTGCACATGCAGAATATAAGAAGTCTGTAAGATTTACCAGCCATACTGCATGTTTAAAATATTCATATGACAGCAGGGTAAAACTTCCCTGGATAATTGTTGTCTTCCAACCGACCACCTACTGTATTTTAAACCACTGGAAATGACCACATAAGGGCTCTCCTCTTTTATCTCAACTAGCAAGTTTCCATACTGTATATAGCAGGTTTTTTAACCCTTAAACTGTCCAAACAGATCTATGTTCACATGCGTAGTGCTCCAAAAGTAATCTGTGTTTTTTTACATATTTTCGAATATAACAAAAAAAAAAGTAGATCAAAGTTTTTTACACGTTTTCAAATGTAAAAAATAAAAAGAAGCTCTACGTTTTTTAAATACTTTCAAATGTTGAAAAAACGTAGATTTACGTTTGGACAGTTTAAGGGTTAAATATATATTACACTAACTGTAATGCATTACTTCACATTTATTAACATGGAGGTTAATATACTACATCTCTGCCCACAATGTGGGTTTAACTGAATAAGTCTGTGATCAGCTGCAGATGAAGCTTGTTTTCATACATTATGTCATTCATAAACTGCAATTTTTTATGTTAGCCTTGAGGAAGACAACACAAGGACAGACTATTCAGACTGACAGAATTAATTAATGTTATGCCTTATTATACATTATTAGCAGTTTGGAGGGATATGTTGTGTATCTTTATATGTATATGCTTCTAAACTGTTGTGTTCTGAGCACCTCTGCAAAAACAGTGATTATGTGTGAGTGAGGTGAAAGTGTTGAATGATGAAAGTACTTTCTTTTTGGGGATTTTCTTTCTTTTTGGGTCACCCTGCCTCGGTGGGAGATGGCCGACTTGTTAAAAAAAAAAAAAAAAATTACTGAGGCTGACAGTGGTTACACACTTTTTTCTGTCATATCTGCATAACATAAGAATGGAGGAACACTGCAGAAGGCCTACTGGCCCATGCGAGGCAGGTCCTTGCCTCTGGCAAGAAAGTGATAGTATGAATGGTAGTGAAAGTACTTCTTTTTCGGGTCACCCTACCTTGGTGGGAGATGGCCAGTGTGTTAAAAAAAAAAATTCCTGAGTATGTTAAGAAATATGCCCCCACAATAAAAAAAGCTAAAATTCAAGAGCACTTAGGAGACAATTAGTGAAAAATTTGAACATGTATATCAAGAAAATTTACTGTAGACAAAATAATACTGCACTATACAGTAGTAGTATTTAGAAATGTTTAACTGCTAAAGCATATAAGCAACATCATCAAATTAAGAAATATTGTTTGTTTGACATTAAGGCAAATCAGAATAATAAAATGTGTAGTGAGCTAGTATGGATACTTAGTGAAGAGCATAGTAAGAATGCCTATGGGGCAATGCTACAAAATATGGATATTTAAGTGTTAAATCTGATCAGACTAGAAGCAAGCACTTTTGGGGGAGATGTGATGTACTGTTGGGTATAAAGAGGATTCAAGGAAACTAATTAGCCTGACTTCTGTTCTGGAGGTGGGAAGTGTGGTGCCTCAGAGGGTCATTTGAACTGTGATATCTGTGACCTTCTGAAAAACATCTAGGGGATGAGTGATTGTAACTGTTTCCTTCTTTAAGAAGGGTAACCCTGTCTTGGTAAGGAAACAGCAGATCTTAAATAAAAATTTCATACCCGCTTCTCTGGATTTGATCTCGGTGCAGGTTCTGGTCTAGGCTTAGACTGGTCTTGGAAAACAACATCATGAGGTATAGAAGCAGGAAGGGTTTCTCTTGGAGGTGGACCACACTCATCCAGTGGTGATGAAGCTGCAGGAGAAGCAGTAGAAGATGTGTTTGCTGATCCTCCAGTGCTACCGCCACTCATTTTAATAACAACAGCTGGAGGGATCTCAGTCTCTTCAATAGGACGACCTGCCTTCACAGCCTTCTGCATCTGATTCAGCGTTTTCAGCCCTCGATTGAATCTAAGAAATCAAAGTATTATCTGAATATAATTTCTACATATGTTGTGTATCTTTATATGTATATGTTTCTAAACTGTTGTGTTCTGAGCACCTCTGCAAAAACAGTGATTATGTGTGAGTGAGGTGAACGTGTTGAATGATGATGATGAAAGTATTTTCTTTTTGGGGATTTTCTTTCTTTTTGGGTTACCCTGCCTCGGTGGGAGACGGCCGACTTGTTAAAAAAAAAAATTCTACATTATCATTATTTTTCAGATGGGAGTGCTAAAACCATAAGTAATGAAGAATGAGAGGCAATCAAGTTCAATCCAAGAAAGAGGAGAGTAGCTCCAGTTATTTGGATCAAGAGCCCTTCACTGGCATCAAGGCACCTCACATGAAGTGAATAATTTCTACATAAAGAAGGACTTGGAGACCACAAGAAAGTTGCTTACACAAGCAACCAAATAAAATCTCAGTAATTAACCATCATGAATGACTCGCTAAAGAGTAATGACACAATCATAAACAACGCACTGAACAGAAGGTTCAAACCCATGGGAAGCCAGTCTTAAAAATAGCAGGTATGGAAGAGTGGGTGGGGCTGGCTTGCCATGGGTTTGAACTCTCCATTTGGTGAGTAGCTGGGAAGAAATGGTATAAAATATTGACAAGTTGGAGAAAAAAAAAAAAATTAAATAATGCAGTCCCTTAATGATAACATTTCTCTCATGCAGTGGGCTTTATCAAGTTGGAACTTGATAGATAAAGTACATTGTGTGGGCAAAATTTTATTAACAAAGAATCCCATTATACTGCATTAATGTCTTTTTCAAGCGGTGGGTAATTCAGAAGTCATGAAGCAGACAGTGTCATCAAACATACCAGGGTAACACTGCATTGGCTACGTACACTAACACTTTCTTTTTAATGCAAAAAATTAGACAAGAATTTATTATTATATTCATGGAAAGTGCTAAACCTGCAAGTCATAAAGCACTACATGGTGAAATTGGAAGAGATGGTAGAGGGGGAATTGAGGCAGACAAGTGAAAATATTAGGAATACAGTGGTACCCTGAGTTTTGAACTTATTTCATTCCAGAAGGCTGTTTGAGTGCCAATACTGAACGAATTTGTTCCCATAAGGAATGATGTAAATTAGATTAGTCCATTTCAGACCCCCAAAAATACACTTATAAAAAACGCACTTACACATATACACTTACATAACTGTTCGAGTTGGGAGCAGTACGAAACTCGGGGTACCACTGTATATAATTCTTACAGTTTGGAGGGATATCCAAACTATTGTATCTGAGCTCCTCTGCAAAGACAGTGATTATATATGAGTGATGGTGAAACTGTTGAATGATGATGAAAGCTTTTTTCTTTTTTCTGGGTCACCCAGCCTCGATGGGAAACGGCCGATGTGTTAAAATAAAAAATAATTCTTACATTGTAAACGTATCCAAAAAATGCCGTAAGAACAAACCTTCGAGCCCTAGAAGTATCTCCAATTGCCTTGGCATTTGCTTCTGCCTGTTCATACATAGAAATTCTCTCTGCCAGTAAACCAAGAAGATTACCACCACCAGACATGGGTGCCTGCCTGGGAGCCATGGGTTCAGGATTACGATAATCACTGACAGGAGATGGACGATTTGGAACAGTTGGAGCGGGCCTAGTAGGAACCGTAGGAGCTGGTTGGGTGCTCATATCGTCATCATCTAATGGGCTAAGAGCAGATAATTCCGCCTGGAAATTTAGAAAAAAAAAAAAAGTAGAGTATGGCTGAAAATCTTCTCAAGCAATAAAGGACATATTCATACAAAAATATACAAAATAGTTAATAGGAGAAATCATCTTAAAGACCAATGTGCAGTTGACAGTTTTTAAACCTAACACACTAAAGCCTCCTTGGCCTGCCTAACTTTTCTTTCAAGGTACATAATTTCTACATCTAACCATCATACCAATAACTCTGGATCCTCTTCATCTACAAAATCTTGATCATCAAAGTCGTCTCTCATACAGTCAGCAACCATCTTGGCTAGCTGGTCCGGAGACACTACAGTCTTGCCTAAAGGATTAATATTGAAAGAATTAAATACTGTATAATTATTCTAGCAGTTTTGAAGGTGAAACAACATCTTCAAAATTATCTGGCAGGCAAATAATTTTGAATTATAATTAAGACAAAAGGCTAAACCCACAGGCATCATACAGTACACAGGGAACAGGAGATAACTGGGTTTGATCCAAGGAGAGGGTAGCTTCAGTATCAAGGTACCCTCTTCGCTGGTGGCAGTACATGTGCAGTGTGAGAATTTACAACAGATACTATATATCTACAACCTTACTGTGTTGCAAGGTGAGCTATGTGAATTCAGTAAGATATTATCTGCCTGCCGCTTAACTGATCAAGGATTGAACCTCCACCACTCCTTGTGTTAAACAAGCCACAAGGGTGAACCCTGACACCACATATCGGATAAATTTGTATGCATATTTTCTGTATGTTACTGAATATTTATCAGCATGGCATCAATCCACATTTTTCTAATGACCCTTTACCTCAGTCAGAGATGGCTGGTGTATTCTTCAACAACAACAACAACGATGGTAGCGGCAGTGACTGCCACTACCCTCGTAACCACCACCACCACTACAACCACCACAACAATTACCACACACAAAAAAAAAAAATAAATAAATAAAAGGTACCCAGGGGCTCCTAAAGTTTAAAGAATAGTCAGAGCTACACTATGTACTGTAAGTCAAGTCAGAAACATATTGAACATGGTATAAATAGTTATATAATTTTTTAGAGATAACAGGTTTAACTGCAGATTCCAACTGACAGGCACAGAGATTTAAATGCCTTGGTGGGAATCAGCCAGTGTGATAATAAAAAAAAAATAATAATAATACAGTAATAGTAATAATAATAATGATAGTAATAGTAATAAAATAATAATTATTATTATTAATTTAAAATTATGGCAAGCACAATCTCTCCCAAAATTATTTGGTATAAGATGCTGGCACACTACTAAGAAAGTTAAAACTGTTAATCTACTGTATTCAACACTGCAGCGACAATCATATCAGCCTGTTGGAGACTCCTAACCTTTCTGAGGTGGTTTGCGCCCTCCGCCACCAGTGAGAGCGAGCAGCTCTGCTTCAAGGTCAGCGTCGTTCTCATCATACATGTCATCAATGCCTGGCACATCCATCAGTCCAAGCTGTCTCAAAAAAAATACTAGCATATAGCTATAATACAGTATACTGTAGGTAAGTAAGTTTATTTAGGTACAGGTACACATAAGTACAGTGGAACCTCAGTACTCAAACAGCTCCCTACTTTGAACCCTTTGTTCGGTAAAAAAAATTACTCGGTAGTCGACCGTTTGCTCGGCACTCTACCAAACAAACATGACCTGCCAGAACTTCACTGTAAACTTTTTTGTGTTTCTTTGCATTTTTTTTTATATTATTTGTATAAATAAGTCACCATGTGGCCTACGAAGATTAGTGATAACAGCCAACTAAAAAGAAAACTGGCTAGGAAATATCTGCTCGGTACTTGAACAGAGCGGCACTCGAACAGCCTTCTGGAACAAATTATGTTCGAGTACCAAGGTTCCACTGTACAATTATCATATATATGTGTAAATTCCCTACGATAATGACAGTTTAAAGCCAGGCACATACCTGAAAGAATCCAGGTATAGATAATTTTCAGCAAGGAATTTAACTGAATGAACTCAGGTTCAAGCCTTAGTTGAATACACTTTTATTCAGTTATTTTATACATAGATTTTTTTTTTTTTTACGATATGAGGGCACCTATATGTCACTAGTACACACACAGTATATTATGATGATTTAACTTAAGATAACCCAATAAAGCCAAACAAAGGGACTTATTTTCCATTGGGGTCATCAAGATGCAATTAATTCACAAGCCTCCTTACACCCAATGCCCCTGTTCACCTAGCATTAAATAGGTACCTAGGTGCTAGTCTCCTTATACCTGTTGTCCTATTCACCTAGCAGTAATTAGGTACCTGGATATGAAGACAAAACCTCAAACTGCAGAAGCTTTAATTTGGATCATATCATATGCTGTGTGTAGAGCTTTATCAAATACAGTAATATCACTGTTACATTTACAAGCAGGAGCATTAAGTTCTCAGGGGTTTATAAGAACACAAGAACATAAGAAAGGAGGAACACTGCAGCAGGCCTGTTGGCCCATAATAGGCAGGTCCTTTACAATTCATCTCACTAACAAAACATTTGCCCAACCCAATTTTCAATGCCACCCAAGAAATAAGCTCTGATGTGCAAGTCTCACTCAAATCCAACCCCTCCCACTCATGTACTTATCCAACCTAAATTTGAAACTACCCAAAGTCCTAGCCTCAATAACCCAACTAGGTAGACTGTTCCACTCATCAACTACCTTATTTCCAAATCAACTACCCTATTTCCAAATCAACTACCCTATTTCCAAATCAACTACCCTATTTCATGCAGCACCTAAGAAACAGGAGTTAGATTCGATCCCGGTTAAAAAAAAGAGGGCAGCTCCAATTTCCCAGATCAAGAGCCCTCATTATTATTATAATCATGGAGGTGCACTAAACCCATAGGATTATACAGTGACTGTGGGGGGGGGGGATGGAAGGTATTCAGGCTCAATTCAGGGGACTGGAGCACAGATCCAATTCCCTAGATCAAGAGCCCCTCACCAGCATCAAGGAATGTCCCTTGAAGGAAGAGCTTTATATAGCCATACCATGATTGTTAGAGGCACAAGATGGTGATAAAGCCAAGAATAACCAGGGGGGTAAATAATAATAATTACATAAACAATCTTTCTCAGTGGAGATAAATCGTATATGAAAAAAAAGACAAATGCAGTATAATGTGAAACATTGTCAATAAAAATCACATTATGTTGCATCTATGTCTTTCTCAGCAAAACAAATTTAAAATGAAAATTATAGTTTTACAAATTTTATATATAAAAAAAAATGATAAATCAAATTGTTTCTTAAATACTGATAAATAAAATATATTTCCCATCAATCCGAAACAATATATATATATATATATATATATTATATATATATATAATATATATAATATATATATATAATATATATATATATATTATATATAATAATATAAATATTATATATATATAATATATATATATTATATATATATAATATAAATATATATAATAAAATAATATATATATATTATATAATATATACATAATATATATATATATATATATATATATATATATATATATATATATATATATATATATATATATATATATATATATTTATGCTGACTTTGATACATTTATTTTTTATTTACTTTGTAGCAAAACCTTAATCAGTCAAATATTTTCTTTAATTCCAGAAATATCTATTGAAAAAATTCCCAGTTATCCAGCTGTCCACTCGTGACTATCACTCATCCATCTTTCATTCCAATATTCACCTTCCTACAGGTATTAACTCACCTGTGCTAGGCCTCCTCCTCTCCTAGGACGCTTGTCCTTATCATCCTTCCTTCCCTGGAACATACTAGTGCATGTCCTCTAGGAATAATTGATAAAATAAGAGAAACTCCTGTCTCTCCTGGGGTTTGTTTACTGTGTCAGCTGGAGTTGTACAATGCACCACAAACACCATAACTATTATTGCTATTTTACTATATTAATGGCTATTAATGTTATATGTAGCTATCTTCATTTCAGTCTGACTTATCAATACTTCCTTTCTATCTATTTTAATCTTGACAAAAACTCGATTTCGTGAAAGTGAATTCCATTTATGTGACGCCATGATAATAGGGACCGTTGACAGGCTTGCTAAAATATTTCCCCCCAAAAAACACAAGAATATAAAAATGAAGGAACACCGTGCAGTGGGCCTACTGGCTCATGCTAGGCAGGTTTAACTCACGTCCACTTATGTACTCTTCCAACATATATTTAGAGTTACCCAAAATTCATGCCTCAATAAAGCTACCTGGGAGTTTGTTCCACTCATATACAACTCTATTGCCAAGCCTATATTTCCATATATCCTGTCTCAATCTATACCTCTCCAGCTTGAATCCATTGCTGTGAGTCCTATCTTGGTTAGATATTTTTAATACGTTATGTATATCTCCTTTATTTATTCATTATTTTCCACTATGACCAGGTTCTGGATGCTATAGAGGATAAACAAAATGAAAGGCAGAAATGTAAGGCATAGATAGCTCCAGGTCTTCTTTGCGGCTGACTCTCAAATTGCCATGACAGTGACCTCTATGAAGACACTGCAAGACTCCAAATCTTCAAATGGGCCACTCAAATGATGTGAAGTTCAATGAAGAAAAATTTCAACTACTCAGATATGGAAAACTTGAGGAAATTAAAACTGTATCAGGGTGTACAACAAATTCTAACTATACAATAGAGCGAGAAGGTAATGTGAAGGACCTGGGAGTGATAATGTCAGAGGATCTCGCCTTCAAAGACCACAACAATGTATCTACAGCATCTGCTAGGAAAATGACAGGATGGATAATGATTATCTTCAAAACTAGGGACGCCAAGACCACGATGATTCTCTTAAAATCGCTTGTTCTCTTTAGGCTGGAATGCTGCTGTACACTGGATCCTTCCCCCCCCCCCACCCCCATTTCAAGGCAGGCGAAATTGCTGACCTGGAGAGTGTATAAAGAACTTTCACGGTACACATAAGGTCTCAGACCTTATGTGTACCTTACATGGCCTGGTCTCAGACCGAGCCGCAGGGGGCGTTGACCCCCTGAAACCCTCTCTAGGTATACTCCAGGTAGGTATCCGTATACTTCAGTCACATTTCCACTCAATTAATTCAGTGCCTTTCCAGAGAGTGCAAATTCATCGCCTTAAAGCTGTATTCGCAGGGAAGGTTTTTAATACACGGAATAGACCTTGTCTTTCTATTCTTTATATTTTCCAGCGTAGCTATACCATCTACCTGGAGTTCATTACCGTTGTAACTAGTTCAGCTATCATAACTTTGGGGCCTAGTCCCTGGGCCCATTATGTACCTCTGTAATGTTGAGGTACAGTCCCTGGGCCCATTATGTACCTCTAATGTTGAGGTACAGTCCCTGGGCCCATTATGTACCTCCGTAATGTTGAGGTACAGTCCCTGGACCCATTATGTACCTCTGTAATGTTGAGGTACAGCCCCTGGACCCATTATGTACCTCTGTAATGTTGAGGTACAGTCCCTGGACCCATTATGTACCTCTGTAATGTTGAGGTACAGTCCCTGGACCCATTATGTACCTCTGTAATGTTGAGGTACAGCCCCTGGACCCATTATGTACCTCTGTAATGTTGAGGTACAGTCCCTGGACCCACTATGTACCTCTGTAATGTTGAGGTACAGCCCCTGGACCCATTATGTACCTCTGTAATGTTGAGGTACAGCCCCTGGACCCATTATGTACCTCTGTAATGTTGAGGTACAGTCCCAGGACCCATTATGTGCCTTTATAATCTTTTGACTACCGCCCACAGGAAGGGTATGGGGTGCATAATAAACACATTAAACTAACTAACGCTATGTCTATCCTGTAATATTGGAGATCAGAACAAAGCCGCCTAATCTTCGTGAGGCATAACCATTGTTGTTTATATTTATCATTTTTGATATGAAGCTAAAAATTCTACAAGTTTCACTTGCGAACACTTATACACTGTTGTCTTGACTTTAAACTTCTGATAACCAGGACTCCTAAATCTTTTACTGCATTTACTTTGATTAAGAGACATTGCTTAACCTATAAGTGTCATAATTCCTTTTCTTAGGATTAGATCCTTACACTTGTCCGCACTGAACTGCATCTACCATTTTTCCGACCACATCATCAACCTAGCCTTCAGAAAACTTATGTCGCTATTTATTTCTCATCTATGTAGCTTAAGGAGACTGCGGATACAAAGGGGTCTTAATACTAATCCTGTGGCACTACTCTTAACAGGTCCCCATACCTGCTGTCCCTGTTTACCCATCAGTATAAAATTGGTACCTGGGTGTTAGTCGACTGGTGTGGGTCGCATCCTGGGACAAAACTGACCTAATTTACCCGAAATACTCAGCATAACAAGTGGCTTTCTATATAGTAGTATGTCATTAATGTCAGCTATGGTCTGTATACCTTGTACATGTAGTAAATAAAGATATATTATTATTATTATTATTATTATTATTATTATTATTATTATTATTATTATTATTATTATTAAAATTAGCTTTTCATTCCCCCTCAAGAAACTGTAGCCAGACAGATTCCGTGTCAGTCCCTTCTACTTTTATATAATTTCTGATACAACAGTTTAGTATGACTAACATACATCGCAATTTTGTTCCCCTTCATGTTGACAGCTCTCTAGGAGAACTGGAACAATAGGATGGTGAATATCTCTTTCTTTTTTATTTTAGCTAAATCCTGGCGGAGGCTGATGCAGGCAGAGTAGAACCTTGAACAGTAAAGTAGGAAGTGTTCGGCTGTATTATCCTGCACAGAACACTAAATGTTGTACACAACTCGCACACAGGAGAAACTTGTGAGTGTGATTAATATAATCACACAAGCGCGAAAGTTAGGTTAGGTCAGGTTCGTCAGGAAACAAGACAGGTGTTTCCTGACGCGGGTCTTAGATGATGACCCGCCGGTGGAGCTTTTGGTCATCTGACCGAGGCCTTCCACTGGCTTACCGGTCCACCCCTTTGAAGATTATGGTCATAGTTATAACCAGTTTACTTATTATAATCACACAGTCGCGAAGGTAGGGAGCCAGTATATATACGAGAGGAAGGAGACGGGAGAAAGAGACGAGTAGGAAAAAAATAAATTGAAAGCAGTAGTGGTGATGGAGGTAGTAAGATAAGTAATAGAATCAGGTATCTGCATAGGTTATTTGTGTATTGTTCCAGTCATGTCCAGCTGCCTCTTCATGAGGCAGCTGGACAGATACCTAAAGCCAGTGCTAGATCAATTGGGCTGTTGTTCGTACGTTAGACTGCGTGCGGCCAGCAGTAACAGCTTCGTTGATCAGGCCCTGATCCACCAAAAGGCCTGGTCATGGACCGGGCCGCGGGGGCGTTGATCCCCGGAATGGCCTCCAGGTAAACTCCAGGTAATGGTATTGTGCCTTTTTAATCTTTACCAAATGTTTCAACTCGGGCTGATGAAGGATGAGTGGAAATGCGTAAAAAATGGAGGGGGAAGAGGATAATTGAGAGGAAATGCGAAGATGCTAGTGACCAGGTGGAGTTAGCACCAGTGGGTAGGTGTGGGAGGACTGTTGTGGGTGGGTGGTGGGTTGATGTGAGCAGCGTGGGTCATCAAAACCTTCATAACCCACCCCCGCTTCTCTGCCACCATCCCTCCCCACCACTATTCCCACCACCATCTCCAACACTCTCCCTTCCCCTTCAGTCAGTCAGTCTGCCTCACACCGTTAAGCTAGCAACAGGATACCGTCAACTGTTGTAACGCCAAGACCACTGCATCAACGCAGAAACTACGGTACGTTCATTACCCATAATTGTTTAAGCTTGAATTACTAAATCATAATTAAATGACCGTCAATGAGTGTATCAAACACTGCAGTACACTGGCGTGGACACAATACACACAGTCTCTCTGGTATTCTTCCCTGAGGAAACACACACGGTATTTTTGTCTTTTCATGTTGAACTTACCGGCTTGGCAAGTCACATAGGTAATGATAATTCGAATAGGCATTAACACAAATAGGTTTATTCTGTTCGGTTACACTGAGTTCAGTCGACATAATGTGCTATTTTTGTACACTTACAACATCTATGTGTCCTCAGATATAACACAGATAATCACACTAACTTGATTACGCTATCCCAGCCTAACTACATAATGTACTAATATTTACAATTACCTCATGGTGTCCTGTCTTCAGTAATTTGTTCTTATATATATTTTTTAAATCTTCAGTAGTTGAAGCACTTAATACATGACCTTAAATCATTCCTTTGATCTAACAGGTTCTATGAAGACAAATTTCTCAGTATCCCCTTAACTCCGCTGTCTTCTTAATTCATATCATTGTCCTGTTGTCATCTCTCTTGAAGATACGAAAAATTTCCTCTTTATCTTATCATACACGTTCTCCTAACATTTCCGTGCCCTCCCTCAAAGTCATTGCGAAATAAGTTTTCTGTTATGTATGCAAATATAACCTCTAAATTTGAGCCTTAGTTTACAAAATGCTTTATAGATTGTCCTCAGTAAAAAATTAATTACTTCAGCGAAGTTGTGCGAAAATTTAATGCGGCTGTATAAAACTCAGCTATCTGACTGTTATCATACTCAGCTATCTGACTGTGCCCTTGTGTGTTGCTGCTTTTGAAAAGGCTAAATAATATTAACTAAATCATATATATATATATATATATATATTATTTATTAATTTTTTTTATTAACACACTGGCCCGAAAAAGAAAAACTTTCACCATCATTCACTCCATCACTGTCTTGCCAGAAGGGTGCTTTACACTACAGTTTTTAAACTGCAACATTAACACCCCTCCTTCAGAGTGTAGGCACTGTACTTCCCATCTCCCATCTTCCCATTCCCATGTTACTTTGCTCACACTCCAACAGCACATCAAGTATTAAAAACCATTTGTCTCCATTCACTCCTATCAAACACGCTCACGCATGCCCGCTGGAAGTCCAAGCCCCTCGCACACAAAACCTCCTTTACCCCCTCCCTCCAACCTTTCCTAGGCCGACCCCTACCCCGCCTTCCTTTCACTACAGACTGATACACTCTTGAAGTCATTCTGTTTCGCTCCATTCTCTCTACAAGTCCGAACCACCTCAACAACCCTTCCTCAGCCCTCTGGACAACAGTTTTGGTAATCCCGCACCTCCTCCTAACTTCCAAACTACGAATTCTCTGCATTATATTCACACCACACATTGCCCTCAGACATGACATCTCCACTGCCTCCAGCCTTCTCCTTGCTGCAACATTCATCATCCATGCTTCACACCCATATAAGAGCGTTGGTAAAACTATACTCTCATACATTCCCCTCTTTGCCTCCAAGGACAAAGTTCTTTGTCTCCACAGACTCCTAAGTGCACCGCTCACCCTTTTCCCCTCATCAATTCTATGATTCACCTCATCTTTCATAGACCCATCCGCTGACACGTCCACTCCCAAATATCTGAATACATTCACCTCCTCCATACTCTCTCCCTCCAATTTGATATCCAATTCTTCATCACCTAATCTTTTTATCCTCATAACCTTACTCTTTCCTGTATTCACTTTTAATTTTCTTCTTTTACATACACTACCAAATTCATCCACCAACCTCTGCAACTTCTCTTCAGAATCTCCCAAGAGCACAGTGTCATCAGCAAAGAGCAACTGTGACAACTCCTACTTTATGTGTGATTCTTTATCTTTTAGCTCCACTCCTCTTGCCAAGGCCCTCGCATTTACTTCTCTTACAACCCCATCTATAAATATATTAAACAACCTCGGTGACATCACACATCCTTGTCTAAGGCCTACTTTTACTGGGAAATAATCTCTCTCTTTCCTACATACTCTAACTTGAGTCTCACTATCCTCATAAAAACTCTTCACTGCTTTCAGTAACCTACCTCCTCCACCATACACCTGCAACATCTGCCACATTGCCCCCCTATCCACCCTGTCATACGCCTTTTCCAAATCCATAAATGCCACAAAAACCTCTTTAGCCTTATCTAAATACTGTTCACTTATATGTTTCACTGTAAACACCTGGTCCACACCCCCCCCTACCTTTCCTAAAGCCTCCTTGTTCATCTGCTATCCTATTCTCTGTCTTACTCTTAATTCTTTCAATAATAACTACCATACACTTTACCAGGTATGCTCAACAGACTTATCCCCCTATAATTTTTGCACTCTCTTTTGTCCCCTTTGCCTTTATACAAAGGAACTATGCATGCTCTCTGCCAATCCCTAGGTACCTTACCCTCTTCCATACATTTATTAAATAATTGCACCAACCACTCCAAAACTATATCCCCACCTACTTTTAACATTTCTATCTTTATCCCATCAATCCCGGCTGTCTTACCCCCCTTTCATTTTACCTACTGCCTCACGAACTTCCCCCACACTCACAACTGGCTCTTCCTCACTCCTACAAGATGTTATTCCTCTTTGCCCTATACATGAAATCACAGCTTCCCTATCTTCATCAACATTTAACAATTCCTCAAAATACTCCTTCCATCTTCCCAATACATATAACTCTCCATTTAATAACTCTCCTCTCCTATTTTTAACTGACAAATCCATTTGTTCTCTAGGCTTCCTTAACTTGTTAATCTCACTCCAAAACTTTTTCTTATTTTCAAGAAAATTTGTTGATAACATCCCACCCACTCTCTCATTTGCTCTCTTTTTACATTGCTTCACCACTCTCTTAACCTCTCTCTTTTTCTCCATATACTCTTCCCTCCTTGCATCACTTCTACTTTGTAAAAACTTCTCATATGCTAACTTTTTCTCCCTTACTATTCTCTTTACATCATCATTCCACCAGTCGCTCCTCTTCCCTCCTGCACCCACTTTCCTGTAACCACAAACTTCTGCTGAACACTCTAACACTACATTTTTAAACCTACCCCGTACCTCTTCGACCTCATTGCCTATGCTCTCATTAGCTCATCTATCCTCCAATAGCTGTTTATAAGTTACCCTAACTGCCTCCTCTTTTAGTTTATAAACCTTCACCTCTCTCTTCTTTGATGCTTCTATTCTCCTTGTATCCCATCTACCTTTTACTCTCAGTGTAGCTACAACTAAAAAGTGATCTGATATATCTGTGGCCCCTCTATAAACATATACATCCTGAAGTCTACTCAACAGTCTTTTATCTACCAATACATAATCCAACAAACTACCGTCATTTCGCCCTACATCATATCTTGCATAATTACTTATCCTCTTTTTCTTAAAATATGTATTACCTATAACTAAGCCCCTTTCTATACAAAGTTCAATCAAAGGGCTCCCATTATCATTTACACCTGGCACCCCAAACTTACCTACCACACCCTCTCTAAAAGTTTCTTACTTTAGCATTCAGGTCCCCTACCACAATTACTCTCTCACTTGGTTCAAAGGTTCCTATACATTCACTTAACATCTCCCAAAATCTCTCCTCTACATTCCTCTCTTCTCCAGGTGCACACATGCTTATTATGCATGTATGCATAATAATGTTCTCTTTTCTCCTTCCATAACTGATCCTTCAACATTACTGCTACCCCTTCCTTTGCTCTAACTCTCTCAGATACTCCAGATTTAATCCCATTTCCCCCCCACCGAAACTCCCCTACCCCCTTCAGCTTTGTTTCGCTTAGGGCCAGGACATCCAACTTCTTTTCATTCATAACATCAGCAATCATCTGTTTCTCGTCATCCGCACTACATCCACGCAGGTTGGGTAGGGGTCGTCCTAGGAAAGGTTAGAGGGAGGGGGTAAAGAAGGTTTTGTGTGCAAGGGGCTTGCGCGAGCGTGTTGTATAAGAGCGAGTGCAGATGACTGGCTTTTATGACTTTATGTGTTGTTGGAGTGTGAGCAAAATAACATTTATGAAAAGATTCAGGGAAAACCGGTTAGCCGGGTTTGAGTCCTGGAGATGGGAAGTACAGTATCTGCACTCTGAAGGAGGGGTGTTGATATAATATATATATATATATATATATAATATATATATATATATATATATATTATATATATATATAATATATATACACACATCGGCCGTTTCCCACCGAGGCAGGGTGACCCGAAGAAGAAACACCTTCATCATCATTCACTCCATCACTCTCTTGCTAGAGGCGCACCTACACTATAGTTAAAAAACTGCAACATATCAACACCCCTCCTTCAGAGTGCAGATACTGTACTTCCCATCTCCAGGACTCAAACCGGCTAACCGGTTTTCCCTGAATCTTTTCATAAATGTTACTTTGCTCACACTCCAACAACACATAAAGTCATAAAAGCCAGTCATCTGCACTCGCTCTTATACAACACGCTCGCGCAAGCCCCTTGCACACAAAACCTTCTTTACCCCCTCCCTCTAACTTTCCTAGGACGACCCCTACCCCACCTTCCTTTCACTACAGATTTATATGCCCTTCAAGTTATGCTATTTTGTTTCATTCTCTAAATGTCCAAACCACCTCAATAACCCTTCCTCTGCCCTCTGGATAATATTTTGTATAGAAACCCCCGCACCTCCTAATCTCCAAGCTACTGATTGTTTGCATTAAGAGTCTATTCAAACCGCACATTGCCCTCAGACACATCTCCACTGCCTCCAGCCTTCTAGTTGTTACTGGGACAAACTAATCATGAAAAAGAATCGCCAACAGAGTGCTCAACAACGCTTCAGGAGAGGACAAAGCTTGTCTCCTAGCGGTGAAGGTACCACATTCAGATTTCCTTTTAGTTGTTCCCAATTCC